TGCAGGAGGCCCACAGAAAACTTTGAAATGAATGAGTGAGTGTGAACAGATGGAGGAAGAGGTGGGTGAAGGATAGTGAGGAGCTGGGGGACAGGAGGGTCCGGCTGGTACAGATAAACAGTAGGGGCCAACAGGTGGGTGTAATAAGATGAACTTCAGCCACAGCCAGAGCAGGTTCAAACCTGGCTCAGCCCTTGGACATGTCTCACACTCTCTGACCTTGCATACTTTCATCTGCATAAAAGGGACATGCTGACCTCACACGGATGTTTCATGACTCAGATCAGATCGTGTTGCTATCTGTGCCAGCACGACCCAGCACTGAGTAGCCTCCCATTCTCTTTGATCATTGCTATCACGGCCATGGTTTCTGAAACCTTTCTTGTCCTTTCTGGGAGATGGAGATGGTGAAAGGCTGCAGATTCACTTCTCGGGAAAATAACCCAACACAAGGTGAGGGCTTTCTGCTGTAGGGGAGCTAGGGAGCCTTGGGAGGTGACTCAACAGGTAAAGACCTTGCCATGCAATCATGAAGACACAAGTTCAGATCTCCAGCACCCACATAAATACTGGGCAGGTGAGGAGGCCCATCTATCATCCCTTTGGAGGCAGAAACAGAGATCCCTAGAGCAAGCTGGTCGCTGAACTAACCAAAGCCAACTGATGAGCTCCAGGGTCAGGAAGAGACCCTGCCTTGATACAAAAGATGAAAGACAATGGAGGAAGATGCTCAGCATCGACCTGTGGCGTCCACACCCACGTGCACACTTGTGCACATGTACCCACACACAATGTGCGCCCCAACACACAGGCACACATACACATGTAAAAAATAATAATAATAGAATAAAGAGGAGAGGTGCACCAAGTAAGGACCCCAGGCCCCCTCTGTCAGGAATAAAGACTTTACCTGCAATCTGAGGACACTAAGAACTGTGGCCTGAGCAAGATTGCCTACTTGCTGTCTCCTGGCATCCTCTCCAATGCTCAAGAATGTGACCAAGAGACTGTCCCAAGCCAAACTTCAGCCTCTCCCCTTTCCACTGGCTAGCAGGCCTCCCTCCACAGCCTTTCTGGGTAGTTGTTGTTGTTGTTGTTGTTGTTGTTGTTCTTCTTCTTCTTCTTCTTCTTCTGTTTTTATTTGTTTGTTTGTTTGTTTTTTGAGACAGGGTTTCTCTGTGTAGCCTTGACTGTCCTAGACTTGCTTTGTAGACTATGCTGGCCTTTAACTCACAGCGATCCACCTGCCTCTGCTTCCCTGAGAGCTAGAATTAAAGGCATGCGCCACCAAGCCCAGCTTTCTGAATATTTCTTCAGGGGGGCCAAAGGCTTTCCTTTAAAATAAAAATAATAATAATAACTGAGTGAAGCAAAAGCTGAGGTCAGGTCCCTGCTTAGTGAAGAGATGATTCTAAATTCTAAGCTAAGGAGAACTCTAGACCAGACCAGGTGTCCAGAGCCTGGGGAAGCCCATACCCATGCTTAGCAATGCTCAAGTGTGGGGTCACTCTGAGGCTGAAGGTAGAGAGTCAGGTTTGTCCCCTCCAACGCAGTGCCAGGATGGATGCCCAATATTTCTCAATTCCTGCCACGTGCCACAGTGTTAATGCTGAGACCCAAAGGTTTTTCACCTCTCTTCAACCTCACAATAGCCCCGAGTGATAGACATTATTTTGGTCCTGCAAAAGAGCAGCTGGATCCACAGGGCTAAAGGAAGCCGCCCCGTGTCTCTGGCACTAGTTGTTTGTTTGGGGTTTCGTGGCTCTGGGCCGAGAACCTTCTAGTGTGCTAGGCGAGCTGCCTCCCCAGCCCACCAGCATTAGTTTTAACTCAGACACAGGGGCTTTCCTTTACTGCTCAAAGCTGGCAGGTTTCCTACCATAAATACAATACGTCCTTCTTAAAGAACATCTGGGAAACACAAAAGAAAAAAAAAATCACCTGCAGTCAAATCCCTGCTAGAATTTTGCAGTCATTTTCCATGCATTAGTTAGAGTAATTCAGGAATCAATACAACTCTGGCTTTTGATATCACAAACACCTGCATTATTTGACATCTCCCATGAAGGCCATTTCTGATGACAGCTTAAGTATTCCATCAAACAAATATGCTGGAATTTGCCTAACCACTCCCCTGATGTGGGACATTAAGGTTATTTCTATGTTCTCTTCAATATTCTAAATATTGCTGCCGTGTGCACACTTATGCTGGGCTTTACCTCCCCAGGGTGGCTCCTCAATGGTGAGATTTCCAGGTCCCGGTTTAAGCCCATTTTCAGGCTCATTATGGACCCTAGGAGTCCCAGTGCCTAATTCCAGTCCTTACATCCAACTGCTCTGTAAGCCAAAGCAAAGCACCTCTTTGGAACATCATCCATTGTGCATTTGGAAGGAACGGACAAGCTATCCCAACACTAGGGAGACTGCTAGTGTAGAACAAACATTTAGCCTCCGGGAGCTACAGACAAGGTCAACTGAACCAGGGACTGTGCTACCTGTACTCCCTGGCCTATCCTTCCCCAGCACATTTGCGCTCTCTCTCTCTCTCTCTCTCTCTCTCTCTCTCTCTCTCTCTCTCTCGTCCACTGCCATGCTGATTAGCAAAGTATCTGCATGAAAGTCTTTAACTTCCTCCAGATGGAAGGGCTTAGTAACAAATTCCTCCACAGCAACGGAGGAGGTGAACGGAGGGACCAGAAATGTGGCCCTGCTGCTGGACTTAGCATGCCTTAACAGAATGCCATGGACCTGTGGCCAAGGAGACAGTTCTGGAGTCATTTCTACACCAGCTGACCCCATAAGCCCCCAACAAGCCTGGCCTAAGACGGTCTGATGAGATTCCTATCCCCAAACTCTAGAGTTAGGACCCAAGACCCTAGGGGAGATCCCATCTCTGTGGTTGTAAGAAATAGAAGGATGGTCAACGCTGTGGCTACTGCAAACGGTTGGCGCAGTGATGCCATCATTGCCAAGGAGCCCAAGATGGCGGTAGAGGGAGGGGTGAGACACTGGGGTGGATTGAGAGACCTAGAAACACCCTCATAAATCAGTTTCTGTCCTGGGGAGTTTAGGAAGTTGGTGGTCATGCTTTTCATACCTGCCCCACCTTTTCCCCTACCAGTCCTCAGGGGGACGTGCCTGAGAGCTTCAAGGCCAGAACAGCTGGGGAACTTGGCAGGGATATTTTGGGAAGGCAGATGTTCAGGTCAACAGAACTGGATGAGAGGAGGCAAGGAGTGGCAGTGAGGAAACTTTTAAACACGCCTCCCCTCCCCCGGTCTGTTCCTACACCCACCTCCACAGTGGCTGGGGGAGCCCAGAGACCAGGAGCGAGACTCAGCAGAGCTTTGCTCAGCAGCCTCCCACAGAAGGTACCTTGTTCAAGACAGCCCGTGCTGGAGGGCCACAGGATGCACAGGTCCTGTCATGATGTAAAGTCTTTGGTTGGTGTTGGCGGAACAGGCATTCTCTGCTGAGTCTTGCCGGCGTCTACACCTTGCTTACAGAGGGGATTCAGAAATGTGGAGAGGCTAAGGGAGAGAGTGTACCCAGCTGACCTGAGGCCCGGGGTTCCCTCTCCCCTGCAACACCAAAGCAAAGACCGAGGAAGAGTGCAAGATAGAGCTGAAGAAGTCTCCCTCCACCCAGGGGCAGCTACGGCCCTACATAAAAGTGTCCTCCTACCAAATGCAAGGGAGCTGCTGCCTGGAAAGCATGGCAGGAAGCGTGGCTTTAGTTTAAAGCCTGGAAATACCCCCACAAAACCTTGAGGCTGCGGCTCCCCCTGGCTCCCCACCCAGGAGAGTGCCAGGAGCAGGTGTCTCTTCAGGCTCCTTCCTCCCTGAGTGGATTTCCAGATGCCGGTTTGGTTATGAAGTCTGGTTACTTAATATTGGTTAAAGGGTGGAAGACCTTTGCCCCAAAATTCCTACTGAAATATGAAACACATAGAGTGCCGGGCTAGGAGTCGAGGGAGCTTCACATCGACTCCAAGGATATCATTTTGCCTCTCCAACCTTGTCTCCGCAGTGGTAAATCTGTGAGATGCTGTCTTTCTCACAGTCACACATGCCAGGTGCAGGAGTTCCTTGCCGGGGAACCTGCATTATCAGGGACATAACAGACGTTCACAGCAGGCCACCCAGCAAGCATAGGTGCACGCCGCAGCTCAGCTGTTAGCTTACAGAGTTCAAGAAGAAATGCTGGCTTCCAGCAAAAGTACACACACACACACACACACACACACACACACACACACACACACAGTTTTATCAAGATTGGTAATATTCACCATGAAGAGGACTCAAAAAAATCTCCTTTAAATTTTTCAAATCAAAGTTTGAAAAACCTCTAGAAAACTCTCTGGTGAACTCCCCACCATAGAGGGAGGCAAACAAAGACCTAGCGTGGGCTAAGCAGATCCCTTAGTAAGTCTCAAAGGCCCCTCCATCCAACCCCAGTTCGCAAAAAACAGAATGGACAGTAGAACAACTCAAAAACATGGAGAATCACGCAGCAACCATTAACAAGTGTCCTTTATACTCGGGAGAAGTGTGTTGGCAGCCAATGAAACCATGGCTTTACACCACTGGTAATAAAGACACTCACAGAGCACATAATTCTAAAGGTAGACAGAGCTGGAAATAGAAATAGGCCACACGGGTTTAGTGCAATGAATAAATATTCAACCCAAGACAGGCACGCAAAGGCAATGACAAGGGCGTAAGAATGTTCACGGCAGAACGTTGCAGACACGCCCTTCCCCTCCCCATGACACCCTGCCACCAGCAGCGGCACACGCAGCTACAGGTACCAGGGTTCCTTCAGGCTCTTGACTGGAGAAGTGACCCACACAGGTTTCCTAGAGAAATGTCTGGCCTCTGATGCCCAGAGCCTTTCCTGCCAGCAGGAAGCATGAGGCCAAGGTCAGAGCCACTGACCTGCACCGAATCCTACCCCCATCCCCCCAGTGTGGGTAGCAACCCACGTGTGTAACTCACAGTCTGGAGAGAGCTTGGTTGTTCTGGAACAGTAGTTCAGGCAACACGTGCAGCTGGTTGCGGTTCAGGCGTCTGGAGAAGGGGAGAGGAAAGGCGGGAGTGATAAGTGTTCAGGAGGTGGCAGAGGACACTCAGAAAACACTGTATTTCAAGTCATAAGGACCTAGACTTAAGTTCCAGGAAGACCACAGCAGAACCCCCATGGCCCCCCGCACACACCCCGGGGAAGAATCCTCTCTAAGACAAGGCTCATCTGAGAGGGCCCACTGGGCCATACAGCACCAGGAAGGAAAAAAGCCCTCCATTAAACAGCTACAGGGCCCTTCCTTCTTTGTTTCCCATCATCCCCTTCGTGACCCACCAAGATCTAATCCCAAGACAGTGTCAGCTATGAGCTGGATCCTTGACCTTATGAAATGTGAGATAAGGCCTAATGAGGTAGGGTGCCTAAACATCCCAGTACCTAAGTGCTTTTGCCTATTTGTGCCCAGGCTGCATTGATTTTTGTTTGGCTGCCTGGTAGGGTTTTTTTTTTTTTTTCATTATTTTTTTATTTTACTCTTTGCTCTGTTTCTTTTTTAAATAAAAATGTGTATTAGTATTAGTATTAGTATTAGTATTAGTATTAGTATTAGTATTAGTATTAGTATTAGTATT